ATCTCCCCCCAAACAACAACCCCCCGCTCTTCTTCTCCCCGTTGTCCTCCTCTACCCCTCCGCCGGCGCCAAGCAACGCCTCGGCCCTCCTCTCTTCTTCTTCTTCTTCTTCTTCTTCTCCTGCGACGCACAGCAGCAGCACCGCCGTGTCATCCAAGACCTCCACTGGGCTGACCAACGTGAACACGAGGCCCGTATCCACGACGACCGCCACGCCCATCACGCCCTTCCACACGCCGGCCAGCCCACCCGGCCGACAGGTAGAAACAGTCACATGTCTCTAGTTTACTTTTATAGAACTGAAATCCCTCATGAAGCTAAAACATATTTCCTTGTGTGATGCGTTAAAACTAATTAAGTACCAATATTCCCAGAATCACGTTCGTACCATGTGGTGTCCTAATGTGTAAATATCAACCTTCGCTTTGCCGAGATGTCATCTTCGATGAAGGCCAACCAAATTTCTAACGACACGGAGCAACAGGTGTCGCGTATTTCCGCTCCGGCCTTTTTCCTTTAAAACAGTCCACGGACGTGTCTAAACGCCTCTTTTGTTTTGCTCCAGGTATCACAGCCCGCGGGCACACCTGGTCCTGTGCGAGCCAACCAGAGCCCCTCCCCCGTGAGGCAGCGGGTCTCCCAGCAGACCCTGCTCCTGGGGAAAGGTCTCAAAGGGTCTGGGCCAGACCAGGTGCTGCTCAGAGCTCAGATGGTAAACACACACTTCCACTCGTACCCATGTGATGCTCTGATTGGCCGCTCTCCTCTTCTTATTTCCTCCCTTTTGTTCCCTCCTCTTCCTCCAGCAGCTGATTCTCACGTCTGCTATGCGACCTTCCCTTTCCTCTTCCTCCTCTTCCTCCTCTCCTCCTTCCTCTAACCATGCCTCCGCTAAGGTGAGCAGCGGGGCAAAAAAACGCCGCTTCTAGGCCCCGCCCCTTTTATTTACATTCATTTTAGGTTTGATTTCGCTTAAATTTTGAAGTCAGCTTCACATATTTGTTTCCTGGATTGCAGTTGATGACGTATGTCTGTTAAACATACAGATGTGAAGGCTGCAGCCTGCAGCCGGTTAGCATAGCTTAGCACGAAGACTGGAAACAGCTAGACATGAGCAACACGTTAAGGACACGTTGAGAAGATGTCGGAGGCTGGAACTGATGTTTCTTTCTGTCTCCCCATCCAGCTCCAGAGCCTCACCCTGAGGCCCCCCCCCCACGGGGCCCTCACCATCCCTCCCTCCCTTCGCCTCAAGCCGCCGTGCTCGGCTCAGCATCGACTCTCTCGCCCTCATGCCCCCCTCTTCCCCCCCCTGAGGCCGCGCCCGCAGTCCTGCCACACGGCGACGGAGAGACCAAACGCGCCCGGGCGCCACCTCTCCGTCCCGCCTCCGAGTAGGTCTCACTTACCTGTTTCACTTTCGGGATTGTCGCTCAGCTGCCCGGTCGGTTGAAGCGGAGGAGGAAAGGGTGTTAGTGCGTCCACTCACTGGTCACATGGTCTCACAGGGAGACGAAGAAGGACCGCGGCGCCTTTCCCGCGCACTTACTTCATAAAATGAATTTTGGTCGGTTGCTCTTGTTCGACTTCTAAATTAATTCCATCCCGTCATCCTTCTCTCCTCTTGCAGCTCTTTACTCTCCGGTCCGAGTCGTCCCTCTGAGACCCCGCCTCCACCCTGCAAACAGCCACAGGGCGGCGGTGCCGCGGGTGACCACGCCCCTCCAGCCAATCGGCGCCGCCGCCCCCCCCGCCTGTCGGGCCCCCCTCCCCGTCAGCAGGCCGGGCGGCCCGTTGACTCAGGCGATGCGCGGCCCGCCGTCCGCGTCCGCCGCCGCCCGCTTCCAGCGCTCGCCCTCGGCGGCGAGGCAGCTGCAGATCATCGCCCTCTCTTCAGGACGCCAGTCCTTTACCCGCCACACGCCGCCGCCGCCGCCGCCTCCCACCGCCGAGTCGCCCGAGCCGCCTGGCCAACTGAAGAGGACGTGGAGCGGCGAGGCGCCTCCGCTCGACCCGTCGTTGCCAAAGAACAGCTATCGGCTCCCCTCGCCTCCGTCACTCCTGAGTGCGCCGCCCCCCCCCAGTCAGCCCGGCCCTCAGCCACCGGCTGCCAACCCGAGGGGGGATGGGGAGGCCGGAGATAGAGCAGCGACAGAGAAGACGATGGGTGAAGCAGGGAGTCTCAAATGTGGAGACAGAGGGGAAGGAGGAGAGGCAGCGGGAAGAAAGCCTCGTCGCCCGGAAGGAGGCGGAGACGGCCGGAGAGGAGGAGCAAATGGAGGTGACGGAGGAAGGCCGGAGCGAAGGCGAGGAGAAAAAGATGGAGCAGGAGGAAGGAGAGGCGGCCATGGACCAGTCTGAGATCCATCTGGAGACGGAGCCTGTCCACGCGCCCGACGCCGCTCACGACTCAGGGGGGGAACCGAAACCCACCACAGGCCTCGTTACGGCCCCAGTCCCAACGGCCCCAGTACCGGCCCCAGTACCTGTCCCAGTACCGGCCCCAGTACCTGTCCCAGTAACGGCCCCAGTACCGGCCCCAGTACCGGCCCCAGTACCTGTCCCAGTAACTGTCCCAGTACCTGTCCCAGTACCGGCCCCAGTTACTGTCCCAGTACCGGCCCCAGTACCGGCCCCAGTACCGGCCCCAGTACCTGTCCCAGTAACTGTCCCAGTAACGGCCCCAGTACCTGTCCCAGTGCCGGCCCCAGTACCTGTCCCAGTGCCGGAGGTCTCCGTCCAAAGTCAGTCTCACCAGGACCTGCAGCCGGTCAGCCAGGAGGACTTCTGTGAGAACATGTCAACGCAATCCGACAACCAGTCAGGTGGGTCAGAGTTCAACCCTCGCTGACCGCAAGGATCATGTCACCACTAATGTATAATATGAAATCACACATTATCACTTCCGTATCACACTGAATACACGTTCACACGTCTTTTTAAAATAAACCACCGTCACAGGAAACTGCTCAAGTTAAACATTGTGAATCCTTGGTGAGGACCAAGTTATTGACTGAGATCTTTGTCTTTGCTCCTTCCAGCGCTGTCCAGCCTCTCCTCCCAGTCGCCCCCCCCCCTCGCCATTCGCGCCCCCCTCGACAGACAACCCTCCCCCCTCCCTCCCCCTCCCCTCCCGCCGCAGACCGCCCTCAGTCCGTCGGAGAAGGTCGGCGAGTTGGCCCGGTCGGAGGCGAAACCCCTCGGCCAATCGGGAGGCGAGGCCGAGAGCCTCGACCAATCGCCGGGCGGGCCCTGGGAGCCGAGGGCGTGGCCTGAGGGCCAGCAGGTGCTGACTCACCTGGTGGAGGGGTTCGTCATCCAGGAGGGGCTGCAGCCGTTTCCTGTACGTCTCTCATCAATCTATAGAAATAACACACATATTTATTGACCCTGACGCAGACGTTTAATCTAATCGATACTTTGTTATTAATCGAAGAAGCGACCCGGTTAGCGAAATGCTACATGTAGCGTGTGAGTGCTCATCAAATATATGATACAGTCAAACTCTCAGCCTGTTCAACCACCTTCTTTTCCTTCTGGTTGCAGGTGAACCGCTCGTCCCTGTTGGTCCCGGAGCCAGGAGGCCAACCGGAGGAAGTGGACGGGACCAATGGGAGCGCGGCGTCGCCCGCGGCGGACGCGACGGACGCAAGGGAACAAGCGGCGCCGCGCTCCAGCGAGTCGGAGGGCGAGGCGGCCGCAGACGCAGACGCAGACGACCTGGCCGACCGTAAGCGTCTCACTCACAGACTTCTGACCGTAGAGGAAAGAGTACTTTACTACCTTAAGTACACTTGTACAACAAACGGATTGTGATCAAAACACAACATCTACACTATACATGTACAATATATTTTGTGTGATTTTGCATTGTCGGCAAGCAGATCTTCACAGTGTTTGCAAAGGCAAATAACGGTTCCTTTCAGTAAAGAAGGTGTGTCTCGCACACAGGGCCCCCGCACAGGGACAGGACGGTGCTGCACTGCCAGTTCTGCGGGAAGCGAGGCCACGCTCACAACTTCATGCGGTCCAAGCGATTCTGCTCCACTTCCTGTGCGCGCGGGTGAGGCCCGGGGTGTGATTGGCTGCAACGCAGAGAGCGGCGCTGTGTGCAGGATGTGGTGTGCAGGGACGCACGCAGGTGTCGAGTGCAGATACGCGAGTGTGAATCAAGGCAGCAGATGACGATCGCTCGTTTTTTTTTTTTTTCTCTTCGCTTTGTCAGGTTTAACGTCCGGCTGACGAAGCGCCTGCGGGCTCTGAGCGCGGGCAGCCGGTCCGAGAGGCCCCGCCCAGTCCTAAACAGGGCGGAGTCTGTTCCTGGGAAGCCTCTTCTGCTGAGACTGGTAGGGACATTGAACTCACCGCCAACGCACCCTCCATTTAGAAGGCGGAACTCAATTTTCTCACACAATTAGTACTCGATCATGTAGGTATATTTAGGTGATAATACAGTATTTGTACTTTTAATATTTGTATTATTTTAGACCTTTTATACAGGTTAGGGCAGTTCGAAGTACATCACAGGAAACAGATAAAACAAAGAAAATACACTAAGTAAAATATACAAATATAGATAGCTAGCTGTATATACATATATCCATCAATATAACACATGTATTTATTGAGACATTAAATAAATGCTTAAAACATTGCTGGATCCTGCAGCCTCGGGATCTCTGGAGCGCCGGGCGGCGTGAGAAGGAGGGGAAGGAGAAGGCGGCGGCCGAAGACGAGGGGGAGGAGGAAGAGGAGGAGGAGGACATTGAGGGAGGACGGGAGGAGGAGGAGGACGACGACATGGAGGAGGATCCTGCCGTTGCCATGACGGCCAGGATGGAGCGCCGGGCAGCGCGGCGAGCGAGGAGGGCGTCCGCGCCCACGTTGACCTCGTCGGCGCCCACCAGCACGTTCCAGCCGGCGCCGTCCCAGTGGAGCGTGGAGGACGTGACCGCCTTCATCCACACGCTGCCCGGTGAGCCCCGAGGCCGGTCAATAATAGAAAGAATGGTGAACCCGTCTTTATCTACGCAAACACCGAGCGCGTCAGTCGGGTTCAGTGTTTCTTTTCCCACAATCCATTGCTGTATAATGTAAAAACATCACACTATGTTTTATTTACAACAAATAAAATAAATAAAGTTATGAGAACTTTTAATTTTCTAAATAGAAGAAATGGAGTTGCAGGAAAACTTAAACACTCAGTGTCTTTATTAATTAATTCAACCAATTAAAAGTTCCCCTTGGGGGACAAAATAATGGAAACCAGGCGTTTTCAGTTATTGGACTTTTTTTCTTTGATTTTCCTTCAGACGAAGAGTAAAGTTTAATTCAGAGAACGTTTTCACATTCAAGGAATTTGTGTTGAGAAATCACAAAAGCTAAATGCTGCAGTCAATAAATACAATTTTAAAATAGAACAACTGCATTAAAAATGTGATTTAGCTCTGAAGTAGAGAATATGTGCCACGTGCAGAGGTGGCGGTCCAGATGTGCCGTCGTCAAACTGGTGTTTTTCTTTGTGCTCCAGGCTGCGGCGACGTGGCCGAGGCCTTCCGCCTGCAGGAGATCGACGGCCAGGCGCTGCTGCTGCTGACCGAGGACCACCTGATGACCAGCATGAACATCAAGCTGGGGCCGGCTCTCAAGATCTGCGCCCACATCAACGCGCTGAGGAACCAGTGAGAGAGCGAGACGGGGAGACGAGGCGAGGGAGCAAAACCGGACACCCGGGACGACAGGACAAAGTCACAAAAAAAGAGATCCGCGGTCATTTCTGAGATTATACGTCGAGGTGTGGAGACGGGAGACGGGAGCAGAAGAGTCCAGAAGAAATTTCATCCGTTTGGGGCGATTTGACTGCGGCAGGAGACCAGAGGGGCAGGGGGGGATTTTGGAACTTTCTGTACATTTTTCATGCCAACGGAGAGTGTAAATTTGAAGCTATTTGAAGGATTTTGAACATTTAATATATATAAATTTGTCTATTTAGTTTTTTTAGAACGTGACGTCAACAAAGAAAATCTATCCAGTAGCTAATATAATCGGTGTGTGTAAAAAAATAACGATAATAATAATACGTAGACTTTGTAAGTGATTAATGAAAGTTTCATGTTTTATATCACTATATTCTGGACAACTTGTCTGTGGATTAAAAAAAGGTCACTATCAGGGTAGAGACTTGTGTCTTTAATCGTCACATTTTTATGGTATCATGCTAAAAATTATTTAATAAATAATTAACGATCAACCAAAGTGGTGGTTTTATCTCGTTGTCCAAACGTTTAGGTTTTAGTCGCCAGCAGAGGGCAGCAGTGAGACGATGAAACTATCTTTTATTTATTTTATTAAATAAACTGATGAATTCATGTCACAAAGTTCCTTCCGGAGATCGAAAAAGCTCAAATGTTCCAAACATTCCAGGTCGGTCCGTGTCTGCTGCTTGTTCTGGGTTCTTCTCTCCAGATCTGCTTTGAATTAAGATCTCACGCGCGCTCTGATTGGCTCATCGTTTGGATTGAAGTTGTGTTTTTTCACCACACCCTTTAATAAATCTCATTCTCAGCATTTTTCCCTGCGGATCAGCTCGAGGTGCGTAACGGGACACCGCAGGAGCAAAGTTGTAGTTATCTAATATTCACCAGAAGCAGCGACGCGAAGAAGAAAAGTAAATATTGTAGTGTGATTTTGGGGGAAGATCCATCACTTGTGGGACTTTTTACTTCGCCACAGTGAAGCTCCATGGCGCACTTGTGCAGGCAGGTGAGCGGCAGTGCGGCCAGCTGCGCCGGCTGGGTCGGAATCATCGTCGCCACGGCAACAAACGACTGGGTTCGGACCTGCGACTACTCGGTGGCCACGTGCGTCCGCATGGACGAGCTGGGCTCGCGGGGACTCTGGGCCGAGTGCGTCATCTCTCCCGCGCTTTATCACTGCGTGGCGCTCAGCCAGGTGCTCTCCCTGCCAGGTGACAAGGGGGGCAGATGGATGGATGAAATGGTGGATGGATGAAAAGATGGATGGATAAAATGATGGATGGATGAAAAGATGGGGTGAATAAAATGATGGGATGGATGAATTGATGGGCAGATGAAATGATGGGATGGATAAAATGATGGGTGGGATGAAATGATGGGGTGGATGAAAAGATGGATGGGATGAAATGATGGATGGATGAAATGATGGGTGGGATGAAAATTATGGATGGATGAATGATGCATGGATACACTGATGGATGGATGAAATGATGGATGAATTGATGGATGGATGCATTGATGGCTGGATGCATTGATGGCTGGATGAATTGATGGATGGATGAACTGATGGATGGATGAATTGATGGACGGATGAATTGATGGATGGATAAATTGATGGATGGATGAATTGATGGATGGATGAATAGATGGATGGATGAAATGATGGATGGATGAAATGATGGGTGGATGAAATTATGGATGGATGAAAAGATGGATGGATAAAATGATGGCTGGCTGAAATGATGGCTAAAATGATGAGTGGATGAATTGATGGATGGATGAATTGATGGGTGGATGAATTTATGGATGGATGAAAAGATGGATGGATAAAATGATGGGTGGATGAAAAGATGGATGGATAAAATGATGGGCGGATGAAATGATGGGTGGATGAAAAGATGGATGGATAAAATGATGGATGGATAAAATGATGGGTGGATGAAATGATGGATGGATGAAATGATGGATGGATGAAAAGATGGATGGATGAAATGATGGGTGGATGAAATGATGGATGGATGAAAAGATGGATTGATAAAATGATGGGTGGATGAAATGATGGATGGATGAAATGATGGATGGATGAAAAGATGGATGGATGAAATGATGGATGGATAAAATGATGGATGGATAAAATGATGGGTGGATCAACTGACCTGTGACCCTCCTCCCCCTCCCCCCCTCAGCCTACATCCAAACGTCTCGTGCTCTGATGATCTGCTCGTGTCTCCTCGGGCTTCCCTCCTTGCTGCTGGTGCTGATGTCGATGCCTTGCGTCCGGCTGCAGAACGACAACGCCGCCATCAAGCAGCGCCGGGCCCGGGTGGGAGGCGTCCTCTTCCTCCTCATGGGTGAGGAAGAACACGCTCACAGACGCTCACACACACACAGTAGTTCTAGTCTTAAAAGGACAGTAGTTTTAGGTGGTGTTGCAGATGAAGGAGCATCTGGGCCTCATCCTGACCTTCTGGATGAGCGGGTCCACTCACTGTGAAGGCCCCGGGTTACGCGGGGCGTCCGGATGGGGACAGAACCCTCCACAATGTCCAGAGATGGATCCCTAACGAATGCCCCCGTGTCTCCCTGCGTCCTCCAGCCCTGTGCGGCGGCGTATCGACGGTCTGGTTCCCCATCGGCGCTCACCGGGAGGAGCGTCTGATGGCGTTCGGCTTCTCTCTCTACGCCGGCTGGGTGGGCTCCGGCCTCTGCCTGCTGGGCGGCGCCGTGATCCTGTTCTGCCGCGGCATCGACCCCGGCCCCCCGAGCAGGGGCAACAGCTTCTACTACTACTCCAGGCAGGGGGGCACGGCCACGCCGCTGGACCCCCCCGCCAACCACGCCAAGAGCGAGCGAGTGTGAAGCCGCCGTGCACTTAGCATGCATTATTCTAAAACATTTAACATCTAAAGCCAAGATAAATAACGAGTTTAATGATTTCTCTCTGCAGGTTTTACATGATTTGAAAAAAAAAGTATATTATTTCACTTTACATTTTTCCCAAATGTTACCTTCAGATTACAAGTAGCGAGTTGATATTATGTAAACTCCTTTAGCTTCTTCACATATAGACGGCACAATCAAAAAGAATCAATCTGTATTGTCAAAAAATAATAAAGGTTTTTAAGTGATTAAGAGTCTCAGTGTTTCACTCAAAATTAGACATTTATTCCTGAAACGCCCGTTAAAATGTACACACGCTAACACCAGCTAGCTACATCACTCAAACCAGTAAAAACACACAAAGGTGAGAAATGACATGTGAGTTTTAATGAAACAACATTACAAACTACAAACAGAATGGACTCTCTGGCTCCGCCCCCCACAATTTTCCACCCAATGAAAGAAGAGCCTGACTTGACCTTGAGCAAAGGAGCAGAGTGAGTGTCACCATCTTTAGTTTTTTGGAACCAGTGAACAGACGTGACCATATTTGGAGTGACGGACCTGTCAATCAAACTAAGCCCCGCCCTAAAGCATCCCCTGCTTTATGGTCTGTTTGACTCTAAATGGACCGTAATTTACTAAATGAACATGACGCTGCATTGAGCAAGACTTGAAACTAGAGATTGAGACGAAACTCATGTTTACAAAGTTTAGTGAGGGAATAAATCCAGAAAGTTTTTTCCTCATAGACGTCTATGGGTACAGAGGAGTCGCCCCCTGCTGGTCACTAGATATAATACCGATTCAAGCTTGGGACATAAAGCAACAATGTAGCACGGTATGCTTTATGCTGTGGTACATTCTGATTGACAGGTACCACGCATCCAAATATGGTAACTTCCCTTGATTTGTTGCGAAAACAAACAACATGGTGACGGCCACAATCCAAAATGGCTCCAGCAAGATGGTTGAGTTAAAGGCTTGAAAATGTCCGTCCACAAACCAGCGGGAGATGTCGCCATGACTGAGCCTACTTCTGTCTGTGGAACCAGGATGTCGGTGCTCATTCAGGGCGCTGCGATGGGAGGCGTCCATCCTGTCCTCTTTTGGTGACCGTTAAAAATAAAATCTTAGATTTAGTGTCTTGTGTCGACGCCACTTTTTCAAAACTCGTCCTTTCTGGAGGAAGCGACCTCCGCTCAGTCTTCTTCTTCTTCTTCATCCACATCAAAGCCGTGGTTGGTCCTTCCGCTGGACTTGCCGGCGGACTGACCCCTCGATCCGGACTGATATCCACGCTGCTCGCCGTCATGCTCGTACTGCTCTCCGCCTTCGTACGTGTCCTCCTCCTGCTTCTGCTGGTGTCCCCTCTCCTCCGGGGCGGACCAGCCCTGGTAGGGCCTCTCGCCGCCGCCGCCGCCGCCTTCGTCGTCGTCGTCCAGGTGGTCGTCGTAGCGCTGGTAGGAGCTGGCGTGCGCCTGCTGCTCCCGGGCGTTCAGCTCCAGCGTGCTGTGCCACACTCCGTAACAGGCGTAGATCATCAGGCCTGAGGAACATCAGGACTGTCAAAAAGGTCATCGGTTCAAGAAGGTCATCTGGCGACCATCTGCAGATCTAACAGCGGGATTTACAACATGTTCTTCTATCGGCTCCATCGGCTCCATCTACTCCTCTAAATGCGTACTTTACTTTACGTGCTTCAGTTTGGCGTCTCTACGAAAGAATTAAAGAAGTGAATTTAGTTCAGCACTGTGATAACGATGTGAACAAAATCAGGAAGTACAATTAATATAATTTCCTATCTTGACAAAAACTTAAATTAAAATCAGCTGGAAACTAATAAAAATAGAAAGAAGAAAAAGTCAATCATTAGCAACTCGTGGGTAGAAATGTTAAAACCCACCAAAATAAGAGAACATGTATATTTGTCATGAAGAAAGCGCTGCTTTGATCTCCATAATAAGAGCGTTTCATCTCACCTATGAAGCACCAGACGGTGAATCTGGCCCAGGTGAGTGCAGACAGCTTCAGCATGAGATAGCTGTTGGCCAATATGGCCGTCGCAGGGACGAAGGGCACACAGGGCGCCATGTACGGCAGCTTCCTGCCGCTCTCCGGCTGCTGGACGATCGTGACCAAAAGCTTCGCCAAGGAACCCGCCATCAGCGTGGCGGTGAGGCCGGAAAACGCCGCCCCGATCCCGGCCCCCTGCTCCACGCCGAATATGACGGTTGACCAGAGGAGGAAGGACGTGAGGAAGAAGAGGACGGTGCAGCGGGTCACCGTGCGGCCGGTGGCCGGCGTGGGCCGGGCCGACGCGTCAGGCAACGCCAGCCGCAGCCGCAAGGTGTAGTAGTGACCCCCCAGAAACCTTTTCAGCAGCGAGGCGCGGCCGGTGTGGAACTCGGCGCCGCCCCCATCTCCCTCGGCCCCGCCGGCGTGGTAGGACGCCGACCCGTCGCCATCCGGGCCTCCGATCAGCCCCTGGTCATCTTTGGTTGGGGCGACCCCGTCCTCGCCGACCCAGTCCTCGCCGACCCCGCCCTCTCCGGGGTCGGGCTTGTGGGCGTCGCCCTCTTCGTCGGGCTGGTAGCGGAGCAGCAGCACGCACACGCTCACCAGGGTGTAGGCCAGCAGCGTGCCGATGGACATCATCTCGATCAGGTCCCGGAGGCTCACCAGCAGAGCCAGCAGCGCCGCCAGGCTCCCCGACACGGCGCACGCCACCGCGGGAGTGTGCGTGAACGCCGACACATGGGACAGGAACCTGGACACACAACACAAAGCGAATCGCACAATCGGCCCGGGAACCGGAGACATTTTTTTTTTTGTGCTCCCTCACCCGAAGAGCAGGCCGTCCCGGGACATGGCGTAGATGACCCTGGGCATGGGGAACAAAGACCCCAGCAGGGAGACCGTGAGTCCGGCTATGGAGCCCACGGCCACGACGTATTTCCCCCACAGGAAGCCGTGCACGGCGAACATCTCCATGAGGGGCGCCGAGCCGTCGATCAGGTCGTAGGGCACCATGAGGGTCAGGATCACGCTCACCTGTACGCAGGAAAGCCACTTATTCAGTCAACGCGCATCCCTACACGATGACACGATCCTAGAACAGCCGACGCTGAAGCCCCTTTTAAATCACATGTTTATTGATTGACAGATTTATCAAAACAAACTTCCGGGTAACGTCGGCCAAAATTGAATTAATCCCAAATAACCGAGGTGCAATTCAATATGGTAGAAAGGGAAAATAACCCAAAGTACACTGACCGACACGTAGGCCGTGAGGCAGGCGACCAGCGAGGCCGTGATGGCGTACGGGATGGAGGTGTTGGGGTTTTTCGCCTCCTCCCCCGTCGTTGCGATGATGTCGAAGCCAATGAAGGCGTAGAAGCAGGTGGCCGCACCTTGCATCACCTGGTCGGCAAACCAGAGATCAGCTTTGGTTTTTACTTCCTCCAACGCAACCAAGCTGCCAAAGGCGCGCCACACGTCTCACCCCTGACCAGCCGTACGGGAGGAACTCGCCGCCCCCCCAATTGCCGGGGGAGAGGAAGAAGAGTCCGGCGACGATCATGAAGACCCAGGCCGCCAGGTTGACCACGTTGAGGACGTTGTTGAAGCCCACAGAGTTACGCACGCCGAGGGCGACGACGCCCGTGACCAGCAGGGCGATGAACAGGGCCAGCAGGTCGGGGTACGTGTCCTCGCCTTTACCTGGGAGCGACGAAGGCACCACGCCATTCATGAGCAAATGACTTTAACACAATTAACAGACTCTTGAGTTGCTCTCGATGAACGCCGTCGGGCCGGCTGATCGTACTGACCGAGTCCTCTGAGCGTGCCCAGATGTGTTATCATGTAGTCGCTGATGCTGTGATTGGCCAGAGAGTCAAACATGCTGCTCAGAGCCGACGCTCCCGCCGCTGTGCCTATCAGGTACTCCAGGATCAGGTTCCAACCGATGAAAAATGCCACAAACTCCCCGACCGTCACGTAGCTGTAGGTGTAGGCGGAGCCGGTCGTCTTCGGGACCCGGACACCAAACTCTGCGTAGCACACGCCTGTGGACAGAAGTACGCAAAATGAAAAGGCGTTTGGTGAGATTAGAGTGTGTTGACGGGGGAGATGTTCCCTCAAATGCAAGCCGTGTAGATCAGGGGTCTTCAACGTTTTTCAGGTCCCAGGTCTCCCAAACTGATGGCGAGATGGAGCAGGGGCCCCCTATTCTACGGAGTCAGGTCCGCCATCTTTTATTTTTGAGCTTGGCGCTCTTTAGGCGTGAGCGTGAATGGATCTGGTGTCTGTAGCGTCTTATCAGCATGAGAGCTGCTGTGGGACTGAAAGACAACGTCTCCTCCATCAATTTATCCGTCAGCTACAATGTGTTGGATTCACGTTAATTTAAAGACAATAAATACAATTCTGATTGTGAAGACATTTAAATTTGTGGGAAAAAATTGGTTGAAAAAAATAAATAAATGTCTTATCAACCAAATATTTTGCAGAACCTCCGCGGACCCCCTGTTGAAGACCTCTGGTCTAGATTATTTTGCCTACATTCCTGCGATCCTGCTCACCAGAAGACCAGATGTGGTTTAACGCCTTGTTGGATTAGTCCCTGACAAATGCACTTGTTTATCCTCTTTGTCTTTCTTTCTTTCTTTCTTGTTCAAATAATAAAGTCACATATTTGTATTTTGAAAGATTCACCTCTCACTAAGTATGGTTCCAAAAAGGTTTTTCCCAAAGGGCTGAGGTTCTACTTCTCACACATTCTTTGTCGGACTAAGGTTCTAGACGAGACCCATCCAGGGTTAAAGGTTGATACCCTGGATGGGTCTCGTGGGTCTCTAGATTAAAGTCAGACAGCGTCGAGCACCTTCGGTTGAACGCGGTCCTGTGGCCTCACCTGAGAGGATGGACGCCACGGCCGCAACAATGAAAGACAGGATGACGCCGGGCCCGGCCATCGTCTTGGCGACCAGCCCGGCCACCACGTACATCCCCGTGCCGACGCAGCTGCCCACCCCGAGCGACACCAGGTCCACGGTGGTCAGGACCTTGGCCAGCCCGACCGCCGACCCCTCCCCGAGCTCGGTGAGGTCATCGGGGCCGTGAGCCATCGAGCCCACGGGTTTGGTTCGCAGCAGGCGGGAGTGCACGTTGTACCAAGCATCGCCAAGCGGCAAGCGGCCGAGCCACGCCGCCATCGCCACACCTGGGTTTCACCTGTGGAAGTGGGCTTGTGACCTTTTTACACTCCCATCACGAGTCTCCTCGTCAGGCCTCTTTCTTCTCTTGTGTTCTTCAAGATCTGCAAATCCAAATGAAGGCAAAGCAGAGTGTCAATGAAACAGTAAAAGAAGTACAGATATAACAATGAATTGTTCTACGCCGCAGACAGGATGATAAAACGATGCACCCTTTAAATGTCCAACAAACTAGACGTTCCTGAGAATACGCTAGAACTGAATTGGTTTCATTCATTGATTCCTTCTTGAACAAATACAGTGAATAAAAGGGGGCAAAGGGGGATGATGGGATACCATCAGCTGTTCTCATCACCCACTGGAGCGAGACTCCCTCTCTGAAACTTTAATGAAGACCGAGGATCTACTTTCACAAAGGAAAAGGTACGGCTGAGGAAAATAAAACTGAACCGACGTATACACGTCTGACATGAACACTTTGCACTCCAACCAATAGCTAAATATGAATCTGCACACGGGATCGACACCGACAGGCTGGCTCGAAGACAGTGAAACTTAAATATGCAGGTTAAAGATGCCCACCTGAGCACGCAGGTAAATACGCTCACCTGTTGTTTGTCTTCCTGAGGAGGAGTTGGTCGAGTCCACGTCCTCTGCAGACCTGCGGGAAATGGTGAGGAGACGACAGCGTTAATCCTTCAGACCTGACCCCAGCTGATCAGGTGGGTACGTTATCCAACACCTGAGTATGGCCAGGTGTGTGTGTGTGTGTGTCATCATTTATTAATAGGAGGGAGGCTAGAATAGCTGCTGTGAAGGTGTGTGAGTTCACTTTGAGCTGCAGCTGCCACAGGCGACGTTTATTTACTCCTCGTGTGCAGAGATGAGAAAATGAACAGGTGTGTGTTCACGTTTGTTTTTACGTGCGCTACATCGCGAGGACCGCAACAATCAACACGGCGGGGACGATTCTGCCCAATCCTCACCCCTTCAATGTCCCGGCTGAGTGTTCAGACTGCGTTTTAAGGCTAGAATCAGTTTTGGTTGGCAAAACGAAATCTATCCTGCGTCTGCACACTGAATGGTTTGTGTTATCTGCGGCTGTAATCTGACGCAGAGGGTCAGATTACAGCCAGCAGAGCTGGTAACAAGATGGTCTGAAATAGGAGGCACAAGACATGCAGCTACACAAACTGCAACAGGAAAGTTTGGGGAAAACACTTGATCCAAAGCATCGGCTGCGTCATGTGGCAGAAGATGCCAGTTTGAGTTGCACTGATCAGACCCAGTTTGCAGAACTTCAGTGTTTTCTGCTGCAAACAGTCTTTTGCATTTCTTTTTAGTCCTTTTGTACAGAGACTTTGTTATAAATTCTAGGGCCCCATCCAGAGACATTTCCACTCACGTGACTGTTTCATTCATTTCATTCTTTGACCCACGTGCCTTTTAAGTTTGGATCGGACAGCAAACTGCAGAGTGTCTCTTCTGAGCGTCTGCATGTTGTACAATAATAACCGACTCTCGGTAAAAACATTCGAGCCGACTGCAGAGCAGCTGCAGGTGAAGACATTCCAGTCTAAGCGTTTTATACACAACAGATGAGCAAATGCAGACACACGCACACACAAAGCGAAACATCCCTTTCTGTTTAAGGGAGTAGCGGTTTTCAGGCAGCCTGAGGACACGTGAGAGATCGACCGAGCCAGTACGGACTTATGAAGTGTCATAAAGCTGAAGCTAACCAGAGGCTTCAGCCGATATTACACAAGCTGGATGGGTTTTTTGGAGATAAAAACATTTCGGGAGAATCATGAAACTTTACATGTCTGTTGAAAAATATTAGCTTTGGATTTAACTGTAAAGTATCTGCAGCGCAAGTTTCAGAAATCAAGTCTAAGATACAAACAGGCTGGGAGGAATGAGAGGAACACCTCATTGTTTTTTGCCATTTAAAAAAAACTTCATAAAAATGGTTTTGTATGGACAAAGTATAAAGAAAAAGGCCTCTTTATCGTAAATGTTAAGGACAGTAAATGGCTGTGGTTTTAATTAAGCTTACCTAATGTTTAGTTATCTGACAAGAATTTAGACAAATTATTCATTTGAGCACTTGTGAGACTATTAAAAGATCACAAAAACATTAATACAGTTTTGTAAAAAAAATAAAAAAGTTCAATCTGCGAATAGTAATTCAATTGCTTCTCGTCCTTTAAAAATATGTAACTGTGTTTTTCATTCTTCACTGGACGTAACATTTGTGATCCTTAAATTTAGAACTTCATCAGCCTTTAATCAAACACCTAAAGTTTTAAACCAGTCAGTCATCGAGAAGTGAAACTTTTGTAACAGCAGCACAATAAAAACAGGAAGCAGAAAAGTATTTTTTCCCTCCACATTTATTCTCCATCGTTTACTCGTCTGCCTCTGACTCTTCGTCGTCGTCTTGACTGATCTGGAAGTAACGCAGCTCGTACGTCTCCTTATCGGACGCCACGACCCTCAGCCAGTCACGGAGGTTGTTCTTCTTCAGGTACTTCTTCGTTAGGTACTTCAGGTACCTGGCGAGGAGGGAGGGGGTTTAGTCTCCAAATTCAAATTCCTAATGTTCCGATGTCCGTTCGCTCTCTTCTCACCTTTTGGAGAACTGCTTCTCGGACTGGACGTTGATCTTGTTCTTCATGCGGCCGACCTGGACGATGTTGCCCAGGTTCCCCGTCTTTCCGTTTACCTTAATCCTCTCTTTGAGGAAGGTTTCCTGCGGGACAGAACACAGTGACGCGCTAGGGAAGAGAACCCTAGTATATTCGGAGCTAGGGAAGAGGGCCCTAGTCCAGACGCAGGGTTAGCCGCTTGCAACGTTCGACAGATCCCCGACCAGCACCACTGAGGATAAAGGATTGCGCTAAATGAGAATTCTTACAAAGCTGGCCGAGTCCAGGATCCCATCCTCCACCGGGTGGGTCAGGTCCAAGGTGAACTTCCATACCGCTCCTTTCTTGGACTTCCTGCTCACAGGCCTTCTCTGCTTTAGCTGTGAGGACAAGAGATACAAATTACATTACAGGTCATTTAGCTGACGCTTTTATCCAAAGCGACTTACATTGTATTTTTTTAACCCATGACTTTTTACACGTTTGGCCAGGGAGCAATTAGGGGTCAGGCGTCTTGCTCAGGGACACTTCGACATGGGACATGGAGCAGCCGGGACTCGAACCACCAACCTCTCAACTCCTGCGCCACGTCGACACTTAAAATCACTAAAGCCGTACGAAACTTTTGCATTCTAGCTTTTACTAATAGATAACGTCTGAGAACATCGGGACAAATAAGTTACTCTTTGTAGTCGTAGACACTTATTCCGAGTTATTATTATTATTATTCCACTTATTCCTTCGTTGACGTCACATTATCGACGTAACGTTAATAGCAACAAAACTTGCTAGCGACATCAATAGTTATAGTTCTACTTCAATATGAATTCATGGGAGACCAGTGTAATTTAAGTTAGATGTAGAAACGTTTACCCACCAAGAGGTAGAAAAACACATTTTAATCACAGGCCTCCAGTAACGCACCATTGAATGAAACACGTGCTAGCTAACATTATGGCCGGCAACGAGCTAACGCTAACTCGGCTATATTATCGGCTTCCTACCACAAATAAACGATGTTTAACACAGTTGTGCGCTCAAAGTCTTATTTTGTTTGCGTTGTGTGTGGATCTGAATACTTTCGGGAAACGTTACGGGGATGAATATCGTAAAAACGAGCTGATCCCAAAGGAGCTATAGGGACTTACCGGCGCCATGTTAGGAGATCGGAAGTGAAAGGAAGAACCGGACGTGACGAAAAAGTGACGTGGTGGCGCCGCTTGGAACGCCCTTGCCATATATGGTAACGCATATATCTGCAGAGAAGAAGAAACCAAAACAATAAATCCGTAAGAATAGTTTAACGAGTTCCGAAAGCACCAATAATGTCGCCGAACTAAACGTTATCAGTCACATTGTTCTCTTAGATTAACTGCGCCATAAATACCGACAGTTTCATTTAAATTAAATTAAGTTTTGTCTAAAAACAAGTGGTTTTCTACTGGAGGTTTGGGTCTCTAGGTTTCATCAGCTGTCTGTGATGCTGAAGGTCTAAAGTTCGGCCCCAGACCAAACACACCCTGATAATAGACCTGCTGAGCTTGGTTAATCATTCACAACGTGTTCAAACACACACACTGAATACATGCTATGTACTGGGCCTCAGACCAGCCTTTGTGTAAACGCCCTGATGAGTCAGATAAACCTACACTGGCCTCACTGTTAGCATGCAGCCTTTATTCCACCGTGCTGGGTGAGTCACTGCTAAATGACTTGTCTGCTTCTCTGGTTGTGAGAGTCACCAAACATCTCCTACATTGTTTTGCAAGTCTTGCAGGAGCTCTTCAATTGTGTATTTCATGATTAGAAGTACTTCTGCGGATTGTAATTTCTTTTCACCCTCCGAATCATCCCAACATCCACAGAAAAACACACAGCTTCCAGCAGAAACCACAAAATGTGCAATATTTATGTATTTTTGCTCAGATTTGGGCTTTTTATTTCCGTCACGTTTCACTCTGACAACCAGCATTAACGTTTAACAATTACAGCGTATGGAAGAGGCAGAAAACCAGACAGTTTTGCAGTTTTTTGTCCATTTGTTTTATCATTTTATTGTTTTTTTGCCATCTCCAGTCAGGTGACAAAGGCCTCGAGTGAACAAAAAAGGTTTGCAACTCTACCACCCTCCAACCCGGTCGAATCCCTCGAAAAAAGAAACACGCCTCACTGCAAACCGCCTTCCACATTTCGGAGCCCCACACCACTACACTCTCATGCCTCTCAAAACAAGGTATTACACTCCTTTTGTATTTGGGGGGGAGGAGGGGGGGGATAACGGGCGAGCCCTCAACCCCCCCCCCCTCCTCCCCCCGATGGACGAGAGGTGTGAGCGCACAAGCGCTCCTCAAACTTCTACAGACAAGAGACTGGCATCACACGGGTAAAATCAGTGAAGTTTCTGTTCTTCTAAGGGGAAAAAGGGGAGGGGTCAAAAAACAAACTTCTCTTTTCTTTGTTTTAGAGCTTTGACATGCTGGGGTGGACCTCAAGTGCTCATAAGTGCTAGCCACCACCAATCCCAGCAAGTAGGAGCGGGGAGGGAGCCTCATCGAGCCCCGATCCGCACAGGGACCCGAGCGGGGGCCATGCTGGAAAGCGGTAATGGCTGCTAGAGGGACGGCCTGAACCACAAGCTAACATCTACAGGGACGACCTCTCACTGCTTCAACAACTCAAACTGTCCTCCGCACGTTCCCTCCAAAAGGCTTTAGACCCGCTTTAATCGAGACTTTAGAAATCATAGAAAAGCTGAATCCCATGGTGGTCGAAACGTTCAGGAATGTGAGTGGCGAAACCAACACGTTGAAGGCAGAGAGACGAAGCAGGAATGAGCAACTGATCGTTATTTTTGAAGTTGTTTTTTTTATATATAAAGTAGATTGTAACCAAACAAAACCTCAGTGATCAGAGCAGAGGACCACGCAGCGAGCCACAGTGGAACTTCCATCAGCAATGCAAAATCAAGAGAAATGATAAAAAGTGAGAGAGGGGGGGGGGGGGGGGGGGGGTTTAAAACGCTGAAATCGAGAAACAGAATGATTGAGGTTTTCTGTGAAGGCCGACGCTTTGGTGACAGAACCAATGAGAATGCAGGAGACTGGTTGTGGGCGGTGCTTGTTGCCTGGGAAGCAAAGTCTGTCCCCTTATTTGCCGGCCAAGACCTTGGTAGCGACAGCACATTCCTCCCCCATGGCAGCGATGACGGTGACCTGCAGGGAAGAAGCACACAACGTGTTCCAGTCAATCATCTGAAGCCCCCCCCCCCCCCCCCGGCCCATGTGACCACTTTCTACTCCTTTCTGTACATGAAACATACTCCCAACGCTTAAACCTCAGGCTTTGCACCTTTAAGTGATTCTATACATTTGTCCATTGGGTCAAAACCAGCTTACTGCCAATAGTGAGCTTGTTTTCTTTGTGCACTCACCATGAATTCATCACCAGCCTCAAACTTCCCCTCGATTTCTCTGCCAATTTCGCTGTCAGGGACACGCAGGTCCTCCCTGATGTCCCCGGTGTCGCTCATCAGGCACATGTAGCCGTCATTGATGTTAACCAGCTGGGGGGGGAGGGGGGGACCACATGAGGATTTTAAATTAAAATACATTAATAGGTATATCCGCGGATGCTGCACAGACAATTTATCCACCACATTTCTGGCAAGACTTATTAGTACAAAGACATAAAAGCCGGGCCAAAGGGCCGCGTCGTGCTTTCTTTGTTTAACTGCAGTTCCAGGTGAGCGATAAGAGTCCCCGAGTCGTACCTGGTAATCTAGCCTCTTGATGGAGGGAACATCCATGTTGTGGGTGGAGGGGCACATATCTTCATGCTTCTTGTTGGTGAAGATGTCGATACCAACCAGGTTGACCTGAAAGAAGATCATGGTTTTTTTTAAAGTGATGTCAAGTTTTAAAGAAAATGTGCAAAGATCAAGAGACAAAACATGAGGTTTATAAACGGATCACATACACAACAGATGAACCAAACTAATCAGACGGGATGGTAGTTTGCACACGTGTCCCTGGCCAGGTCACGACTCATGAATAAACAAACGCAAACTGCTTTTAATCCCGGTTTAGGAAGCAGCTGTCAGGTGAGTCCAATATGTAAAAATGACTTTCTACAGTCAAGTTTTGAATCCAAAAAGGTGATTGCAACTTTGAAGAAATATATGGCCAAAATATGATTTATTTCCATCCACATTGATCCTGACCGGAGGGGAAAGTACGTGTCAGTGAACCGCAGTGATGAAAAAGAGTGGGTTTGTGCTACAAGGAGGACTCTTCTTTTAGTGTTCATGTTCTCCTAAGAGGAAAGCAGCTGTGCTTCTGAGCGCCGGAGTCTCCAGCGGAGAGGAGAAGCTCCTGGAAAAGTGGCGCTGCTGCAGGGAGCTGAGCTCTCCTCCTCTTTCCGGAGCTCCAACTGCAGGTCCAAGGCTGCAGTGAAGCCGGATCTGGGTCTCTGCTGGAGGATCTGGGTTTGTCCACAGTGGACTGGTCTCTGCTGGAGTTTGAGCTGAAGGAGATGCAGCTGAACCTGCACGATGTCATCTGGTTTCACCAAAACCCAAAGTCCCCAAAGACAAGCATTAAGAAGAACTAAATAGAACATCTACTCTTGGATGGTCTTGTTCACTGATGGAGGTCATCATGAGGATCAGGACTAAACTCAGAACCAGTTTAAGGGCCCCAGAGAAACTAAGAAAAGAGCCCACACATACAGCTTGGATCAGACTGGGCAGGAATATGACAATTCATATTTTCATTCATCGAATTCGCCATCTTTGACACTGGTTCAGTTTGCAAACTAACTCAATATAAAACAGTTTGCACGGTCACATCGCTGCGTAATCACACTATAGAAGGATGAATTCCTCCAATCACTGAGCAATATTTAATATTGTTCTTTTTTGCTCATTTTAACGTATTCTAACTTTATAATGAATCTATATTTACTAATAATTTCGCGAAGCTTCCCAGTAAAAGCATTTCGCAGCAGTAACAAAAAGCTTGGATCCAAAGTGTTTACCTTGGCATGTCCGTGCTTGCCGGTCTTGGAGGTGGACATCTCCACAATTTTGCAGGGGTGTCCCTTCAGCACCACATACCCGTTCTTACGCAGAGCAGAGCACTGCATGGGGTAGGTGGCGGAGGCGCCAGACTCGCCAACCGTGAAGTCAAGATCGGGATCGGACATGGTGCGATGGGTCAGCGGTGCTGCAAGAGATATTTACGGATCAATTAGCGTTTATCAATAGCAGAAAAATAATGAAAAAGATGCAGGTCAAATACCAAACACAGCCTTATGTGTAATCTACCAATACTAAATATGGTTAGAGGGGGTTGAAACCTGAACTCCACACTGGAATTATCTAACAAACCGCATGGATTACAGATGGTTTATAGATTTACAGCTTCGGTGGAAACCAATGGACTCGGTGCTTAGTCACAGACAGCGTGGGATAGAGATGTACATCTCAAGAGTTAAATATTTAATATTGATCCAACAGCTGACAATCAAAATAGAGCCTGCGATATATAAATCAAATAAACGTGACAATAAAATAGTGAATGCCATTAGAGACTAATCAGATCTGTAATTAACCAATCATGGAGGTACACGTAAACATTAAGATCAGTCTCAAAACCATAATTGAAAGGGAATTCAGTTTTTTCTTTGTGTAAGTTATCACCTAATAAATATAAACCTTTACAGTTTACATTTCGATGAACCGCGGTGGGTTAAATGACAGTTTAAAGACCCAGTCCCCATCTTTTATCACTGTGGGCCAATGCAGCCTTTTCAGAGCCCCGGACTGTGGAGCGGTCATCGTGAGGCAGCACCCTCATCATCGGTTCCCGCAGGTCCCAATAAAAGGTTAAATAATGAAGCCTGACCGGGGACCGACGTGCAGACATGTGGCTGCACGGACAACCTGACCCCGACTCAGCACGAGGCTGCGCCACTTCCAAATCTACCACTTGTTTTTCTGGTGTTAGCGGACACCAACTTCTCCCCAACAACTGACCAGAACAAGCATTAGATGCCAAGTGATATTTAAATATATAAAGCATGGTTTAAACTAAGCATGTGCTCTTCTGGGTTTAAAGAGGGTCCGTGAAGTAACTTGATATTAATACATTAGCTGGAGCAAGCTAGCTAGCTAGCGAGCTAGCTGGCCTGGAGTTCAGCACAACAGCGGCAGGGAGCGGTACGAAGCCAGCCAACGTCACGTATACGGCTAACAGATCAGCTGTTCGATTCAAACGAGCTCTAATCAGACTAACACGCGTCGTTCGGACACGGCATCGTTAAGTGTTCTGCCGGTGTTTATGGACGGGACAACGTGCGCCGCTTCTGCTGCCGGAGTTACTGAAAAAAAAAGCGAGTACCGTTATGTTTGCTAGGCGCGTCGCTAACACGATGCTAACGTGATGCTAACGCGACGCTAGCTCTAACGGTCCATTCAGCGGCGTTCAAATTAAAAAAAGCAAAAGGGGGGTTGACGCTGTCGGCGGCGGCTGGCGCTCACAGGCCGCTGTGTTTTTTCAACGATCCGACAGCCGAACCGTCGTATGACGATCACACCGCGGGCCTCATGACGACCGGTTACCGGGAGAAATAAGCAGACGTTATTAGGGACGTTGTCCCTGTAGCCGCGGCGCCGTAGGCCGCATGCCCCTTCGATTAAACCCGGGTAGCGTTAGTTGGGAATATGGGCACCGCGTCCACCAAGATATCAAACTAACGGCTCCGTCTACTCGGACGCCTCCGAAAACAGTTACGGTTCACTCTTAATGTACTTATGTGTCCCGGTTATCCCCCTTAAGGCAGAAACACGCGCCATGCCACACTTACCTTCCGAGAAAAAAAGAGGACCGAATGTGCGCATGCGCGGCCAACTTTACTGCGGCATCCGTAGAAGGCAGAAGGGAGGGGCGGCGCGCGCGTGTTCCGGTGGCGGCCCGGCAGGGCGGGTTGCCAGGTCGGAGGTAAGCGAACATGGCAACCAGGTCAGAGGCGGCTCTCGGACAGCGGGGCGTCCCGCCGGGTTCCACGGGGGATGAAGGTTTTTCAGGGGGTTCCAAAGAAGAGCATTACAAGCAATACTGTTTTAAAGTTTCAAGTACAAGTATTACAGTAGGGAAGTACCTTATTAAATACTATCTTAAAATATCTAACATTATTCGGATTATTGTACCGAGTAAAAATATCCCACACAGTAAACATAACACACTAAAATGACAGTAAAAGTAGCAGTATCACAGTGTAGAAATACTGATACCTAATATTCAAAATGTTAAGTAAAAGTCATGAATATTTTCATCAATATACATATTAAACCCATCTGGAGGTGTTTCTTCATTAGTGAATATAATGAGCATTTTTTATTTAAAGTAACAACTTTAGTAAGAATTTTCAATTTAATTTCTTACATTATTCTAGCATATTTCTGGGTGTAAATAGTAGTAAATAGTTAGTATATTCGTCCTCACCTACCAGGGTAACATTCTAAATATGTGTTCATCTGTGTTGTATTATTGAGGGTTGGCAGCGTTACACCGTGAAAAGAAAGGTACAAAAAGAAATGCAAAGCAAGTTTTTGGAGCTTTTTTCTTTACAGATAGCACCATCATCTGGTCAACATTTTAATGTTTATTTTTTTACACTTATTTATTCTTTTAGATCAACTTGTCAGATCTTACAGCAAATTGATAACTAATCAGGTCATTTTTTTCTTGCTTCAAATGTACGTTTAGTTCATTTAACTTTAAGTGACTTAAAAAGTACACATAACTCTTACATTAGAAGCTCCAATGATTAATTGATTCATAAGAAGACTTTGATCAGAGATCAACCCGTTAAGTGTGTGGCAGTTTTCAATGTTCTTTTATTACGCTGCAACAAATGTTTCACAGTGAAGAAAGAGAGACGCAGAAGTGTTGCTGTACAAGGAGAGGACATTTATTTGTAGTTTCCAACATCACAGATGTGCATCACCAGATTGAGGTCGTCTTTCGACTGATTCAGACCAGGTGAAAACATACAGTCGCATGCATGTCACACACCTGTGCACGCACCTGCTCACACACGCACACACACACACACACACTCACAGGCTGGCAGCCGTACATACGTTCACAGTCTTGATACGTACAAAAATTGAAATACAAATACAAATAATACCACAATAAAAACATTGTATTTTTTTTTAGAAATTCTTATAGCTATGTTCTCTATTGTGTAGAAAGACAACTAAGCTTCAAGTTTTTTTTGTCTTTCTCTAAAATGATCGGTAAGATATAATGAAAATTCTTACAGTATATATATCTTTTTATTATTTTCTCTCGGTCTCTCACGCTGACCCCGCCTCCTGACCTTTATTCACAGGGTGCTGATTTAATGCGAACATCCTGCACATGTAAAAGGCTTCAGCTGGCCGCGAAGCGGCATCGCTTGCACCGCTTGCACCCTTTAAGATCAACGAACGAGAAAATAAATCAAGTAAAGAGTTGATCCGCTGTCCTCTCATACAGCCGGATCACAATCCCACAAACACCGGCCTTTACGGAGACCGGGTAGATAAAAAGGAAAGTGGTCTTTATAAGCATTGACAAAAAAAAAGCTTAATTTATAAATCTAAAAGGTAAACGTGTGATTATCCAGTGTACAATCTTGGTTTAATCGTGAGATAAAAAGCCCACATGCGAAGCAGATTCTTACAATTTTCAAAAAAACTTTCACTTTACAGTTCAGTGTTGTGAGGAAAAACAAAAGCATCAGAGAAAAACGCCTCAGGACTCGTGCAGCGTCTACAGTCACCAGTCCGTGTATTGCCTTTAAACCTACAATTCATAACAAGTGACGACAGGTAAAAACGTGTTTGTCACCATGCAAAGATGGCACAGTGATGAACTACGGAGAGAGGAAAGAGTCGGAGTGCTGACCAGACCTTTGTGCAAGTCTCTGCTCGCCACAAAATAAAAGAAGGGAAAAAAGCATCTGAGGATCAGAGCTACAGAAGCATGACGGAACTAAAATAACAGACGTTTTTTTTCTTCAGTTTCCCTCATATACATTTTTGCAAAGTCTGTCCTCAACATCAAAGTGAGTATCTACAACAAGTGCGGCTACACAGAACCAGGTGGGGGGGGGGCGACAGACCGAAGGGCTAGAAAACCTCCAGATGATCCACCAAGTTCCTCCCTAAAAACAAGGTGGATATTTGTTTTTTTGTTATTATTGTGTTGCTGTTGCAGCAATAATACAACATCTACTAGGACAGAGTAGCCACAGCATCCTCAACCAGCGGTATAAAATACCCCCCGTTTTCCTTCTTCTCTGCTAAAGGGGGACGGTGTGTTCACACCGCGAGCATCGAGCCCGTTGACAAAAACACACAACGGAGCGACGAAGAACAAGAGAAGGAGAAGACGCCTCTGCAAGGTTTTGCTACAAGTTTTGAGAATAGAGCTGTTGAAGTGGTCGAGAGGACGAAGACAATAACGGCATTTACGAGCGGAACATCTGATCAGGGGAACCAAGCTTTGCCTGAAGATGACGCGCTTCCACGTTTGTTTTTCTGTTTTGTTTCTGTAAAAGGTCTCATGTCCATAATTAAATGCATGAACATGAAACAATACACGTAAGTACATAAATATTATATATAAATGTATTAAAAAGGTAAAAGATCATTCCAAGTGAGAATTGGTGTGTGAGGCGACATCAGGGACACGTCATGTTTTTACACTATGGCGCTAAAATCAGGGTTCCTGCAGGGCTCCTCCTGAAAGGCCTTTGCGTCCACAGAGATCTTTCTCTTCCTTTGACAAGACTCAGATCCGTGTTTTCGTCTTCTATTGATGCTACGTTAATGACCAGCGATGTTTGCTCGCAGTGTGAACACCCGCTGAGGACGCGACAATGTGCTACACGGAGAACTTCTCCACGGCTCACCACACAGTCTAATGGGCAGGTCTAAATAAAAAAAGACTACCTGGCATGATGTCATTGGGGGGGGGGGGTTCAACTGTTCATACAGCAGCAGCACACACACACACACACACACACACACACACACACACACACAATGTCCTCCTCTACCGGTGTCGGGGCGATGCTCAGAGGGACGAAGAGGAGGGCTGTGGGTCGACGGAGGAAGACTACCAGTTCATCATGGAGCTTCTGTTGAGGGTCATGAAGAAGACCTGACTGCTGCCTCCAGAACGCACCGAGGCGAAGAAGACCTGCAGGAGAGAAGACCTGAGGTCACCACCGACACCAAGAAGCACCGAACGCTGAACCACGTGCGGGATGTCCACCTTCCACCATGCTGTCAGGTGGAGATAAGTCGCAGACGGCCGGGCGACCTCCGACCCACCTTGTCGTTCCTCTCCGACAGGAACTTCAGTCGCTGAGCTCGCTTGTGCATGAAAACTCCGTCGAGGTGTCCCGTCTCCACGGAGCGGATCTCAATGGCCTTCTCTCCCCAACCCATGATCTGGTTGGAGTGGATGTACGCTGCAGGGACAGGAGAGGACACACACACACACACAGACACACACACACACACACGCACAGGGAAGGGACAGGAGAAGACTCAGAACCAGTCTCACACCCAAGCCAGTCACACACTGAGGCCTCCTCGCCTCCAGGGAGATTATTGCAGCAGTTTCTGACTGATTTGAACGGTCGCGACCTCTGAACTCTTTGATTCTGGTGTCGGGACGACGTGGACGGGGGTTTGCTCGCCGGGTCGGTGTTTCATCTTAATTTAAATAAAAACGTGGTTTGCATGTGACATGGAAGAGTTAATAAACAGGATCTCGTTCCACAAAGGTTGAGCCAATAAGATCAGGGCCTCGGCGGCGGACGCCATCTTGTTTCGGCGCTACACGTCTAAAGGGTCCAGGTGATAACGAGGTGCGCCGTCCTCTGTCAGAGAGTCAATGTCCAGCGAAAGGTCTCTTTAGTTTGTCCCCCGTCTCGAGGAAGGAGATCGACCAGCAGCTCGTCCTCCAAGGTCGTGTCGCGGGATAAAACCACGATTGCACGATGTACGATTGTCCGAGGGGGGGAGGGGGTAAGGGAGGGAGGGAGGGAGGGAGGGGGGGTAGATGGGCTTGGCTGTGAGAAACTCTGGTCTCTGATAGTAAAATAATTACACACAGACATGTTAACAGGAGATGATGTGCCTCAGGACGCAGACACACACGTTTAATCAGGACATCGTTCACCCATCTGAGAATCAGGAAGCATGATGGGAAAAAACGCAGCAGGCTCTGATCGACTCGGATCACGAGATCCGAGATCCATCCTTGATGTGCTTGAGTTTTGAATATGTGTGCTGATCAACAATATTCATTTAGATTCATACAATAATTGATAATTAATAGAATAATTTGACTTTTTACTTTGCTGAAGTTGTCAAAATAAATTTGTTAGAAAAACGTTTTTTTTTAAATCTTGTCTCACCAAGGACGGACGTGTGGAACGAGAGGACAGCAGACAAAGAAGAAGAGGTATTTAATAAAAGTGAAGATGAGTGTGTGTGGTGGACGTGGTGCTCTGTGATTGGCTCATGCAGTCGATGGATGTTCAGGTTTCGGGTTGTAAATATTTGGTCACCTGTCAAAGTGATGAGAACATATTAAGGAAGTTCCCCACGTGGGCACTAGATCTTCACGCTGGTGCTTCATGGGAACACTTTGTTTCACGCAGGTTTTTTATGGACAACATTTAAATTGTCATCTTTACATATTGTACATAATGACGTGAACCGTTTGACCACTTATCTCTAATTTGAGTTTTATATCAACCCTTTGCTGATTCAATACTTCATATACATGAATAAATTATGATCTTGTGTGTTTTGATTGGCACGTGACAAATAAGAGACGCATAAGATCACGTAACTTGAATTGTTCTTTAGTACCATTTAAGTAATAATTTGATTTAGCTCATTTTTCAGCTTCATAAAAAGCATCACAGCAACACATTTAGGTCACTACTCTCTAAATAACACATTTTAGTTAAAACTGTTGAAAATAGGTTGATTGTATAATTTAGAATAACAATTGTAAACAACTATCATACTATCTTGTAGTATTATCTTCCCTTATTCACCAAAATAAAAGCCCAGAGCCAATTCTCATTCCACAGAGTGTTGGCGTGAAGCAGCACAGCGCTCGGGTTTACGTGGAGGATTTGGGCTCCGACTCCATGTTTTCATCACGTCACCAAATGAGGCCGCACGGTCTGTTCAACCTCCCCAAAAAACCCGAAACCCTGCCGCACTCCTTTGAGCAGGAAATGAGACAGGTGAGGCCACAGCCGGAGCTTCTCGTCTAAAGGTGTAACTGAAAGCAGGAGGCGGGAGGAGAAAGAGGAGTGCTGCTTTGAACGGAGGAGGTGTGGTGGAAAGTAGTGAGGGTGAAAAAGATGACCTGCTGACCCCGCTTACAGAGATCAGAGGTCAGGTGTCAGGGGAGAAGCGGGCTGATCGGTTGACGTACCGACGGAGGTGGGCATCTCGCCCCACTGCAGCACCACGTCTTTGGTGATGCGTCCGTAGGTGTTGACGTAGACGCCCTCGTCCTCGTAGCACAGCAGCATCTCCATGCCGTCCGTCTTGGGCAGAACCACGATGGCGTGCGGGGTCACCTGACCCTGAATCTGCCGGGGCAACACACGGGAGGGGGGTTGGAGGGGTTTGGGCAGGGGATTAGGAGCTGCTGTGAGCCTACAGGTGGGTGGGAGGTGGATGGGGGGGCGGGGCGGGGGGGGGTCTGGGGGGGGTCCGGGACACCACCCCCTCCCTCCCCTTCCCCCACCCTGAACCCCCCCCCGTCCCGTCCCCACCCTGCGAGAGAAGAAACTGCTGCAACAATGGAGTCTCCCGCTGCCTCAGACACACAATCACCATGGAAACAGACAGGAGCACAGCGAGATTCATGACTGGCAAACGTGAGGCGGTTGCCGTGGTTACCGTCTCCTCCCAGCGGCCCGTCCCTTACTGTGACCAGACCGGGGAGTTGGAGGACAACGCGGCGGCACCTTTGTTCATTCACTCATTTATTGACTCACCCATTCAGGCAGCCAATCAATAATCCATTCATCCATTCATCCACCTCTTTTCACTACGTCACACTCGTCCTCTGTTCACGATTTCACCATTCACTGGCTCACTCGCTCTCTCGAATGAACGTAGCCGGACACACGCACACGCAACACGCGCACACACACTAACATGTGAGGGGAGGTAGATGTCGTAAGGGTTTCCAGAGTCCACGTCAATGACGTGGAAGCCGACACTGGATCCGTAGATGACCTTTAACCTCTGACCCTCTTCCACCGTCAGGTCGACCAGCTGCGGGCGATGCTGCAGGTCGGTGAACGACTGAGGAGAGAAAGACGGCGATTAATCAAACACTGAGGTGAGAATCAACAAATCAGCAAAAAACAACCAAGAAAGAAATGTCGAACACAAACACAATGAAATACAGGTTGACATCAAAATTGATGTTTCTTTGAGCAAAATCAAGAGTCATTTTCTTTATTTGTATTAAAATCACTACGGTTAATTGGTTAATTTGATTGTTGATTGAATAATCCATTGTTTTATCGCCTGGCGGGACAAATGGAGGATAAACAAACATCACATTGCTCGCCGCCTTCCGTCTTGTAGAAATCACACATTCTCAAAAGCTTGTTTACGCCTCACGCGTCTTTGCACATCTCACCTTGAAGGCCATGAACTTGTGATAAGGTTTAGGCGCCCAGGCGTAGATCTCCACCGCGTTCTTCAGAGCGATCACCAAGAATTTAATCCTCTCGTACTTCACTGCAGGAGGAGGCAAAGCAACAAGACTCAATCCAAATTAAACAAATTGAACAGTTAAAAGAATATTGGTGTTGCCTTGTTTACTTTACGAATCTGAATTAAATTGAGTTTAGTCACCCAATTACGCAAAGGATATAAAGAGGAAATCAACCCAAAGTCCCCACGACGAAGGTGTGTGTACGGGTTCATGACCCCGCAAACCCAGTAAGCGAGTTTTCTCACCGACTTTGTAGTGGACGCAGCCCTCCAGCTCCCCCACGGTGATCCAGCCCTGTTTCTTCTCCACCTCGGGGTCGTTGTGTAATATCCGGTTCCTCAGCCAGGACAGGTAGTAAACACGTAGCTTGTTCTTCTTCCCTTTGGAGATAAAAACGTTAAATCTGTAAATACCCTCGGACTCACATTTTATCAGCGACGCGACGTTCTGTTTTAATTAGAAACAAAACCTTTTGAGATATGAGATCCCTTTCTTGCACTGTGAAAAAAGAAACGCTCTTCACCTTAGTTTTACTGCAAGTAAAAGCAGCCCGTGTCCGTGGGACCCACCTGAGATGGTGACCAGGACGTTGAGCCCCTCCAGGACGTCCATCTGCTGGAAGCGCCGCCGGTTGATCAGGTTGTAAACTTTCCCCTGACCGCTTCGGTCCAGCAGCATCAGCCCGTTCTCCGTGCCCACCAGCAGATTCACTCCTGCACACACACACACACACACACACACACACACACACACACACAGATGTTTGTAAGTTCTGTCTGTCTGTCTGTCTGTCTGTCTGTCTGTCTGTCTGTCTCTCTATCGGCTCACCCCACAAGGCGGCGCAGAGGATCTCGGAGTTGAAGCGTTTCTTGTACTTGCGGATCTCCGGCGTGTCGCTGTGCGGCCGGATGTTGGTGGGGTTCACGTTGACCACGGAGATCTTCCGGGCCTCGTTGAGCCTCGCCTGCTCCAGATCGTGCTCGTGCTTCAGCAGCTCGTCGGAGAACAGCGCTGTGGGAACAACCGTCCGTTTGCGTGAGCTGGTTTTAACGGGGGGCATTTGAACGCACCGCAAATCGCTGAGAGGTGGAGGCACAGCTTGTTTTCGTTTTGAGTGAATCCATTTTTATTTCAAGTTACTATGAAGAACTGCAGTGGTTTTGGTGTCCCGTGTGGAGAAAATGCTCTCTTGACTTTACAATGATTCAAACTAAATGTTTGAAATATTCAGTATATCAGAACAACTGTGACGTTGTGATGAATATCTGTCAAAGCTCCTTCTGAGCGGCGGAGGGAGGAACCTACCCGAGGCCGAGATGTTGTCTTCGTCGTCGTCGTCCTCCTCGGTGGGGGAGGTCCCGTACACCCTCGGATCTACGAAGGGCGTGAAGGACGACTTGGAGCCTCCGCTGCTCCCCATCCCGTACTGCAGAGCACAACGACAGAGGTCCACGTCACGCTCAGCAATAAAGGACACCCGGCGAGTCCAGTGAAGGACAAACGAGCCGCCCCACGGACGTCCTCTCCTTCATCCCGTTGATGAAAGAATAAAATAAAACTTTAAAGCTCCAACTGTCAACGTTTCTTTTATTTTGTCGGCTTCCTGTGATCGGAACACTTCTGGATGAGAAGACGGGAAACGAGAGAGAGAGACGAGGGGGAGAAAAACAGGGAGACCGAGCGGAAATAAACAGGGCAGGAAATTAAAAGTGCCACATGGTGAAGTGAAAGGTTCCCTTCAGCCAGCCGGCTGCTGGTAATTTCCCACCCTGATAAAAGGACCAGTTGGTGACGGGTTGGTGGACGGGGGGACGGGTCACAGGGTGCTGGTCTGTCGGGATCAGGTGCGGAGTGGGCAGCGGTGGAAGGGAGGGTGGGGGCAGAAAGTTGGGTGCCGCTCCACCTACTTGCGCCCCAGAGGCATCGCCTGGGGAGACCAGGGGGGAGGGGCTTAGCTGCACCAGATCAGGGAGATTGGCGTTGCCGGGGAACAGATTGGCGCTGGCGGGAAAACTGTAGCTGGCGGCAGAGCTCCGCCTCCGTCCCCCGCGCCTCTGGAAAGAGAGAGAGAAGGGGGGCGGGCTACTGTGCAGCGTGGCTGTGATTGACAGGTCAGGTGAGGGAGGGAGGAGCCCTGCCGAGCGTTAGAAAGGTGAATATTTTCTGTCCATCTTTTGGATGTTTTGGGGAAAAGCTTCTCATGAGAACGCAGAACGGTAAACCGCACCGCGGTGGTGAACGAGTTAAGACGATCGCTCTGCTAGATGACAAGATAGGAAATACAAGACCTTTGATAATAAACATTGTCTTAATATTTTAGGACAGCAGTATTTCCAACTGCTTGTCAGTCAAATATAGATGGAAAAATATTGTGTTGAGCTTCGTGAAGAACGTTGTCCACTGTTTCCTGGCATCATACAGACTTCTATTACTAAAATGTCTCTATGTGTAACATATGTGGCAATAAATGGCTTCTGATTCTGATTTAACAATAAAATAATCTGCAAAATATAAAATTCAAATACTAATTTTTATTTATTTCCATTTATTTATTCAGGTTTTTTTTATTTCTTAAAATATTATATATGTGTACAAATATCTGTATGTTTCTGGAATAATAAAAAAAATAAGGAGTAAATTAAATTGGAATATATTATATATAGTATATATTTAAAGTTGTTTTCCCTTCTCTTATATTATTACTATTGTTGTACATACATATTTAACGTGTATATGTAGATATGTGTATATATTTATGTATATTTATTGCTATTTACTGCAGAATCCCGTCACTGGACAGAGGAAGGAATAAAAAGTGACTGTCGGGCGAGTTGGTCGGCACTCAGGTCAAAGGTCGGAGCGGACTCACCTCACGCATCATCAGCGTGCTGTCCTGGGAGCTGTTTCCGTACGAGTCGTGGTGGGCGTCGTTGTGACCCCCCGTCATGCCGAAGGCCTCGTTGGCACCTTCGCTCGTTGCCGGCCTGAAGGGGAGGAGCCAACATTCTTACTCCGTAATCTTATTCATGTGCTTCTGCGCTGTTTAGCCGAGGGAATGGTGATGAAAACATGACAATCCCC